CCCGGATCTCGGATGGTCGGAGGCCACAGAGCACCTGTCACCGAGGCTCTTCATTCCACAGATTCCACAGCGTGTCTGCCCGGATCTCGGATGGTGGCTCTTCAGACTCAATCTTTTCCTTGATGTTCACTGATAAGTCAGAGAATAGCAACAAATCCTGGGAAAGGAAATTTTTTGTAATTGAGCTTTTCCTTCAGGGAACAATGGCTGTGTTTTCTGTGTGTTTTTTTTTTTTTTTAAATAGAGACATGGTTTTGCCATATTGCCCAGGTTGGTCTTGAACTCCTGGGCTCAAGCGATCCTCCTACCTCGGCCTCCTTAAGTGCGGGGATTACAAGTGTCAGCCACTGAACCTGGTCTTTGTGTGTTTTTTTTAGACAGGGTCTCACTCTGTCACCCAGGCTGGAGTATGGTGGTGCAAGTGGTGCAGCTGTAGCTTGCTGCAGCCTAATTGTTTTGTATTTGTCATAGAGGCAGAGTCTTGCTGTGTTGCCCAGGCTGGTCTCGAACTCCTGGGCTCAAGCCATCCTCCGACCTTGGCCTCCTACAGTGCTGGGATCACAGGCGTGAGTCACCGCGTCCGGCCAATGCCGACGTTTTTGAGGAGCAGTTGAGGGATTTGGCTTGTTCCTTTGACTCTGAGACCAGAGGACAGACCAAAAGCTGGGAGGAGATTCAGCAGTGTGGCCCTCCTCGGGGTGTGAGATGCCCCTCCTCAGATTTGGAGATGCCGGAAAACAAAGCCCAGGAAACACGGGTGTGGGGCCCAGGGCTCCAGGTTCTGTGTCCCAGTGAGCCTGTTAATTCTCAGTCTTAAAATGTCTTATAAATTAAAGCAGGGAAAAGTACATTTCCACCATCTGTGACAAAGCACCTTCTTGAAATAAACCACCAGTTAAAAAGTAAAATTGGGATTCCTGGAAGAGACGCCTCAGTGTTAGACGCCATCAGAGCAGGGGCTTTGAACAAAACTTCCGGAACGTATGTGCGTGGCTGTGATGCTGCAGGACCGTCGGAAGACAAATAACTTCTCTATCTGGTTCCCACCTAATAGCCTTTACAATAAAGAGGAAATCAACCTTCTCCTTGCCTGGCTACCAGAGTTTAAACTTATTCAGCTAACGTGATCAATAAAACCAAATGTCTTTCTGAATATCAGCTGGAGAATTTTCAGCATTCAGGATTGAATGGAAAAACGCCTCTCCTTTTGTTCAAACAGCCGATATTACTGCAATGTTGACAGAGGAAAAAAACCCATGTCTAGTTTTCAATATAGATAATCCCTAAATAAATATATTTTTGTCCGTTTGTCAATCACTGAAATACCACAGATACGCAGGGAAAGTCTTGGAAAAAGGCTGCCGTTCTTTAGCCGGGAGATGCAACCTGTTCTCTCAGTCCAGGCAGTGCCTCCAGGCCACAGTGGAAGGAAGGACAGGTCTCTTGTGTGTTGACGACACCTCAGGCTGTCCCTGCAGGCGCGCCGGCGTCAGGCAGGGAACAGGACCGCCCTTGCCTGTTTTGGACGCTTTGGTTTTCCTCTGTGATGTGGCCTGTGAGGAGTTACATGAAGCCTGTGGCAAAGTCCTCAGCTACCACCCGGCCCGGCGTCCGCAGCTCTGCAGGGCCGGCTCTCAGGCCTGCTGCTGGGATCGTCTGGGAGCTTTGAGGATCTCCAGAGGCCTGGCTGCCCCAGGGATTTTGGTGTGACTGGGGAGTCAGTGTGGCCATCAGCTTTCTCGGTGCCGCCCACATGATTCTCATGGGAGCCGGGGTTGAGGACTTCGGCAGCAAAGCGGCACATTTCGAACCAACACAGTCAGGTACCAGTTAGGTCATGATGCTGGTCCGCAGGGCCTCCCTTGATCCCTCTCTTGCTGCTCTGAGCGACTGTCTTCTCAGTGGTCCTCAAAGTGGGGTGCCTGGGCCAGCCATGGAGCATCACCTGAGAACTTGATAGAAATGCAGATTCCTGGCTGCACCCCGGGGCTGCCGGCTCGTGAACTCTGGGGTGGGGCCTGGCGCTCCAAGGAGCCTCCAGGTGGCTCTGAGGCTGCTCAGTTCGAGACCCACCATCTCTGGGTTGGTTCTGGGGTCACAGTCGCCGTATCTACCTCTCACGGCATTGGAAGAGCACAGGAGACAGATGAATCTCTGGCCGGTCTGGGGGTGACATTTCCCTTCCTCCACACCCCACCCCCAAACCCTGTCTCACACCTTCTTCCTCCCACCTTTTACCAAGACAGGTAGTAAGTCCCAGACGTCTCTGCATACAGGCCCCACCCCATTTCCAGGCCACTCAGACCTATTCTGGGGCCTTTCTAGGTGAAAGAGAAGCCAACAGCCTTTTGACTCAATAGCAGGCCTGCTAGGAATTCACCCAGCATCTGCATTCTCGGTGGAATGCCTGATGTACGCATAGGGCCGGTCTTGAAGGGGCTGTTTGTAATTGCAAAGCAGACAAAGCGCGGCAAAACAGAAACGGGAAATCACCTAAGTGCGTCTTAACAGGGAACTGGTTACATAAATGAGGGTGCATTCTTGGTGCCCTGGCCTGCCTGACCATGGGTCCCACAGCTCCTGTGCCTCTGGGGCGGGCCTGGCTCGCTGGGACGCCCTCAGGGCCAGGAGGCCACAGCTGCCCCATCTGCACCTTCTGCCGCATGGACCCTCTGCCCCTCACCGGCTCCTGCTGGCCTCGACCATCACATCACGTAGGACGCTTGTGACTGCTCTAAAAACACCGGGCTCTCACGCTGTCCCCTCCAAGGTCCCCTCCTTGTGTCCAGCATCACTGAGGCTGCCTCCTGCCGGGCTGCCCCTGCCCTGGCCCTCAGGTGCCTGTGGTTTAAATCTCCTGGCACTGCTGAGCACCGGTCTGGTGTGCAGATGGAGGTGCCTGAAGCGTAGGAGGAAGCTGATGGACAGTTCGTCCCTTCACCAGCAGCTGTGTTGTGTTCAACGGTGGAGACAACCCATCTGGGCTGTCAGCGACCCCACCCCACAGGCTCTTCCTCAGCGTGACCGTGACACCCACAGGGTGGGCCTGCACCTGCCCTGAGCCTCTGCAGCTTGGGACGTCTCAGCCCCAGGCGGTGGGATGATGCCACCTGGGACTGGGTCCTCTGACCTCCTGGGTGCTCCCTCAGGTCCTGGCCGCCATTCTGCAGAGACTCCTGAGTCCGTGAAGCAGATCCAGGGCCTCCACCCACCCCAG